TACAGTCGATTAGCAAACCTGAAGCTCACAGCCAGTTTTTCTTTAAAGGGTTATCATTGAAATAAATGGAACAGAACCCTGTTCCAGCTATTGCCTGTACTTGATATGAAAGTGTTTGGTAATATAATTATGTACCTAGGGCAGGGGTGTCCAAACTTGAACAAGCTAATCAAGCTCTTACTACACCTACTAGAAACCTTCTGGCTGGTTTGTTGAAACGAGTTGGAGCAGGACACTGACCCTTCATGACCGAGTTTGGACACCCCTGACCTAGAGGCTGTGTATACATTCTAAAGAAACTACTTAGAGTTTGCTTAAAGTTTGCTGGTTTTTTGCTTAGCACAACTTGAATGCATATAAACTACTAGAGGATATTTGCAAAATATGCTATGCTACGCTAAACAGTTTATGCAATAATATGCTACCTTATGCTACACCTGTACCTTACTTCCAATTAGCAGATGCGTTTTATCCAAACCGACATGTAGTTCACTAATTGCACTCCCAGAGCAACCAGCAGTTGAGTACGATTGCTCTGAGGTAGACAGAGATGAAGGACGATGTTGTAACCAGGCAACCAAGTATTCCTCGTCCACCACTCGGATTCAGACTTGCAGCCGCTCTGTCTCGTTTACCGACATCTTCGATTCCAACCTGCTTCTTCAGATAAAGTTTACTTGCTCTAGACTACACCAGCAAAAACATCCCCACACATGTAGTCCCTCGGGGCCCGCCGTCCACACAGGAGGCCTGCGATCTGCCGTGTTTGTGTGGAAAGAGAGCAAGGTGTATGTTTTGAGCAGCTGGTGTGAGTAATACGGTTGCCACTCTGGACCCTGAGCATTTAATGAGAGTAATCGCAGGTACACGCACAAAGACAGAGTGGCAGCATAGATTACGTGGTAAATCTAAGGGATAATGAAGAATCCTGGGACACGGCGCGGGCCTCGTAATAAATTTTGCGGCTGTAAGAACCCACAATTACCTCTGTCACAGGCTGCTGTTTCGCAGCAGAAAGGCAGGGGATGCATTTCTCCTCAGCACCACTAATGATTAAAGGCTTCTGGAATGGGTCATTAGGTTTCAGGGAAGTCAGATGCAGCGCAGAGACGGTGGACAGGAACACTCGTGTAGCATTTGTAAAGGAGATGGCTACACAAACACACATTTTGCATTTAATTGGACGCACTGTGTTTCCAGCTGCTGGGGTGAATATAAACGACCGTGGAATTTAGCAAGCGGAGAAAGTCAATTTTGGTGATAAGCTTTTAGGAACAAAGGTTTACAGACAAAAGAGGGAACATGATGAGAATATGATAAGTGTTTTGACTTCGGCGGCTGTGGTGGGGAATGTGGAACGTGTTAGTGGAGAAGATTAAAAAATTAAATCGACAGATTGAATGTCATAAGTGTTCTTAATTGCTTAAAATGTCAAGCTGCCATGGTTTGATCCTCTAAAAGTAATTGTTACAGTATATATTTAAAGTAATGAACTAAATGGATAAAAATAGTTATGGTTGAAAATGAAGAGTGGGGGTTATTATCATGGATGTTAGTGAAGAGCAGGTTTTGGGGCGGGTGTTATTGGGCAATATTGTAATATAGTGCAATATGTTATTGGGCAATAAACTGTAGTAATATAGTATGCAATATAGTAACTCTGGGGGCCCCAAAATGGCGTGAGCCCTTAGAATCGTCCTAACTCCCCCCTACTGTAGCAGCAATGCTTTTCACAGTGACTAATACTGTAATGCATTACTTTTGCAAATATATTAACTCTGTTATCGTTACAATATGATGCGTTTGTCCGTTACTTGGTAAGTTAATTATTTTGGCTGCAGTCTAGCCTACATCTTTCTGCTTAAAGTAGAGACCCATTGTAGGATTGGTGGTTCCACTGTAAAGAAGACGCATCATGTACAAGGCGCCAGACTGGACAATTTGAAAATCAGTACGCAAGAAGTACCTGGATGACCTACTATTTCTGGCGAGATTCTGAAGTGTGCATCTCATGCAGGCTGTGCTGTCCCATAATGCCTCATGAGAGAAGTCATGAATGGGAGTATATTGATGCAACTCATGCGGGTAGGTCACGTGATCATGATAAAGTGGCGGATGTTTTACCTCTGAGTTCCATTCATACTGCTCGCATTCATACTGTATAGAACATACTTTTTAACGATCGAGTCGAACATTCAAAAAGCCCCTCTTTTGCATTAAAAATTTGTCATATTTTGGGGGTCTCCAACAACAGGCTGGTATGCATGCAATTTCTTATAATATGCATTTATTTTTAGCTAATTATCCCTGCGACTCCCATATGATTTGTTCAGTGATTCATTTGTCCCCAAACCCCTCCTTAGCACAAAGCTAATCTGCGCTGATTGGTGCGATGACCCAGTCTGTCGGGATGGGTCGACTGTGTTCAGCGTGAGACCTAAAGAAATGCCCAACACAGCTGCAGTATGAAATAGCAGAAAGTATGTGAGAGCCCAATGCAGGAATGCAATAAAGCAATGCAGTTAAACACCAGCATATTATTCTACTCTTAACCCTAATCCACACAGTGGCAAACGATGGAACTATTTAGAAAATTGACTGTGCCGTGCGTGTAAGGAACAGCTAATGGTGGCCATAGCAGCAAACATCAGAGGATCACTACTTCAGAAACGCATTTATATCGGTAAAGAAAGAAGAACGCGTCACGTTTAAACATGATTTTGGACGATTTTGGACTGATCAGTACTAGACACATAATTACAAGTCGAGCAGGGCCATTAGAACTTGACACAATTAAACGCATATTTTGCAAACGACAAAAAAACGAGGCAAAAATTTTAACCACAATTTCATTTTATGATCCGGAGGAAGAAGAAACTGGTCCTTTTGAACTGTAAAAGTTACTGACAAAGTCCCTGTCAAAGTCTGACAAAGTATCTGCTTCTCCTTCAATAGCAAACGGCTGGTGAATCCTACGTTGCAGTGTAGGTTATTGTATCAATTGTCAGAAAAATGACAGGAACAAACACTGCACTAGGTTGGCCATACTGTAGTGTTGTTGTGAAAATGAAGTTTAACCCTTTATTCCACTCAGCCGAATCTCCATCTGTCAGTGATTGTCGTCTTCGCGTCATGATCAGTCCTATAATCCCCCGCGCCTCCACTAGTGTGTGGAAGGAAAGCGCGTTCACATTTTACCGGACCGGGAACTACATATTTGGGGATGTACCGTGCGATGACGATGCGATCAATCAAAAGATCCAAACCCAACACAATTTGTTTATTTGACTCTGAAATTAGTATTTTGCTAAATAATTAATAGTTTTAAACAAGGTGCACTTTTAGATTTAAACCTCAGCTGGATGCTTTCATTTACTTAAAGCTTTGTTCCACACTACATGGAAGCACATTTTCAAAAACAATAATAGGGGCTCTTTAAATTCAAATACAGTACCTACTGAGTAGTAGACCACTCAAAGTAATACTACTACTATGTTTGTTGTTTCAAATAAGTAACCACACATGTGTAACCTGTAAAACAAAATTGATTAGTTTAGTAGACACAGTGACACATTTCTGTTATATTTCAAATTGCTCAGATAAATACTGTGATTTATGTTTTTATTGTTAAATATTTTTAAAGCTGTGTATAACAGCAGATTATGCTCTTTGAATATACAAAGCTTACTATAAGCTGCTGACATACCTCATGTAGGGTTAGTTTGAAAATTGCTCATTGATTTGTTTTTTATTTTTGAGCAGCTGTTATGATTTTGTTTTGTTTAAAATGCATACAATTTATGGTTGTCTATAATAGCGGTTTTGGTGCTGAGTTTCACCAAATTGTTTCTGAATATTAATTTAGGTGACTTTCATTTATTTATTTCATAAAGGTTTTGCGTTTGTTGTATACCATCGTTAGTTTTCATACTCCAGCTGCGAAGGAACATGTTTAAGTGTTAAATACAAACTTTTATGACGCTGAAGTAACTTTAGTTTTTGCTTTTTTGTTTCTGAATAAATTGTTTCAGCTGGTTTAGAACCTTGTAATTTTATTTTATTTTATTTTTTGTACTGCTGGACTTAAATTCGTGTTTAAAACTTACTTTTTGTTTAAGATTGTTTTGTTTTTTAGTTGTGAGAATGCAAATAAATTCAAACTGTTAAGTTGATCAACAGTATATTTTCCATGCAGCACTCAAGTGACGATATAAGGGAATTCATGGGGGAATTAAAAATGTTCTTTGTTTTGTAATTGATAAAGTAATTAAGTTACTGTTTGAATGAAGTAACCAGTAACTGTATGATGACAACTACACTGTACTTGATAGGTTTTCGCATTTTTCAAAGGGTATTTTTTACAAAAGTATTTGAATAAATGATGTTGGCGACACTTTACTTTAAGTAACTTGACTTAACTAGACTTAACTATTAAGATATTGACTGTTTATTGGGAGTACTTACATATAGACCATTTTGTCCATGATCTTATTCTACATCCTTAATCCTAGAATCTTAATACTAGAACTTTAACTATTAGGAGTTCAAAAATTAGGAGTTCATTGAGGCAAAGTCATACTGCATTTAGTGGTTTATTAATAGCAATAAATGTATGTAAAATACAATGTGACCAATATTTTAGAGTTTTCCACAAAAAATATAAAGCAGCACAACTGTTTTTAGCATTGACAATAATAATAACTTCCAGTTTTCAATTGATTGATGATTATTCTAGAAGGATCATGTGACACACAGAGAGAAGTGTAGTTATATTATTATTAGTTGCAGTGGCATTGGCTTTTTAGGGTTGTTTCATAACCAGCCTTGAAAATGGATGCCTAAGGTACCTACAACATCCTTGAAACCTACAGTAGTTTGTAATCCAAGTTCTTTAAGAATATGTCATTGTGTCTGTAATGAGTTTCTAAAACAGGAAACTCTTATTCCATCTGTTCTAAAGTGATGTTTCTGTCTTTCTTTGTATATTTTCTTTGCTATAGCTGTTGATGGCTTTTACTGCTTGTGTAACCCTGGTTACGCTGGAGTGAGATGTGAGCAGCACATCAATGACTGCGCTAGCAACATGTGTGAAAACAACTCCACTTGTGTGGACCTCCATCTGGTAAGAACAATTAATTCTCAACTAACTGTTGGTTTCCGTATACAGCTTTTAATGAAAGAACAACAGCAGTTCCTAGAATCATGCATATGGGAACTAAGTATAATAACCGCTAATGTGCTGTAGCATCTGTTGGTAAATGATTATTGTTCTCCATGCGAGGCAATTAATAAATCTGAAATCATTCCTCAGCCCACCTGAGATATGACATATCCGGAACAGAAGAGATAGCACAATGTACCAGCATTTCTAAACCACCCATTTGTATATTTTGATCATCTCTCTTATTTAAACACACCTGATTTAGATAAGCTCGTTAGAGGAGCTCCATGCATGAATTGTTTGAATTAACACGTCCCTCCTCAGTGTGCACTATTTTCTTCTCCTTCATTCCTCTCTTCCTGAGCATTTCTGAGACACCTTTATTTCACTTCGGAATGTTCCTTCATGGATTTACTCAACAGCAGTGCCTGCAGCGTCTTACTAGAAAAGCTTGAGTTGTGATGTAATGTACCTCAGTAAATACATACTATATAAATTCACATATCACTGCACTCATTAAAATTATTTTTGAATTAAATGCATATGCTCTCGTCAAACTTAAACCATGGCGGAATATCATGTGGAGTCCAGGGCACTTTATGGCTCGAATTAGAACAAATGCGAGATGTGCAGCGTGAGGACCTGGGTTGAGAAATGCCGCTATATGGGACATTCTACCAGAAATGTACATTGTCTGTCCCTGAAATAAAAACATACATACAGTGGATAAGGTATTTCATTTCTAAAATTTCTAAAATGGCCTGATGCTTGATGGCTCTGAGTTGTTCTCTGAAGGAATATGTCGTTCATTTTTGGTTCTTAGATTTTTATTTTTTTTCTTTATTAAAAACAATTTACAAATGTACAAACCCTGTCATTGTCCTTGTCTTCAACCCAGTTAAACTTAGTTTTGTGATGCTAAAAACTGTTAATTAGAAACAAAAAAACTCATAAATAGCAAGTTTGTTGTTTTTATTCACATCAATTTATTAAAAACATGAAATTATTTTAACAAAATCTACAAATATATAAAACAAATAAATTTACAAATGTCCCTGTGTTTCAGTCAGTTCTGTCACATTTGCATAAAACTTAACATAAAATGTGTGCAATACAGCTTATGGGCTATGACTCGGAAGTGACATCGTTTGATGGAGAAGAAGCTGACAGTGATCAAGGATGTGTTCTATCATTAAATTTTATGATTGTTATGCTTGTTTTTTGTATAATTTTTCTAAGGACTATAAGCTTTTTTTATAAGTAAAAATGTACGTTTCTGGTAGAATGTCCCATATACTAATTTAGTCAAATTGTTTTTGTAATATTTTTCTAAAAACCATTTAAATAAACACTCCAGTTTTTTTGTGAAATAGACTCACTTATAGTATAGTTTTAATTTTGGGATTTTGTAATAATTAAAATTTTGTAATCAATTCAGCCGATCACTGGGTCTGGTGAGATCATTAGATATTAACTTAGCTTAGCTTAGACATGAAAATGAAAAGTTGTCATTTTCAATGCTAATATCACAGGAACTATTATATAATTCCGGCATAATAATCAAGGAACTTTGCTGCCACCATGGCTGCAGCAGGCACAATTAGTGTCAATTTAATATCTGAAATTAGTTTTGAACACCAAAAACTACACCTGCACCACCAGTTAGAAAAATTGTATAATCATTGTGCCTGCTGCAGGAATGATTCTTTGGCCTAGAAAAAAAGCAACTTTTAACTTTCCATCGGCCTTAGTACATGGTGTAACTACAGAAGAATCAAGTTTTAAATAGGACAATTAAACTCTGGTCATTTAGAGCAGGGATTCCCAAACTTTTTAGCACCCGACCCCCAAAATAATTAGTTCAGTGACTCATGACCTGTAGTATTCTCTGAGGTTTTATATATATATATATATATATATATATATATATATACAGTATACAGAGGTTGCAAAAAAATTGAGAGGCTGATGGCCTTTTATTTGCATGTTGTTTTTTTAGTGTTTATTATTAAAATGTTAACAATATTACTATTAACTACTATGTTGTTTTTCAGTAGGTTATGGATAAAATATGGTCATTCTAATAGTTTTAATAAAACTATTTTTATTTTATTTTTGGAAATCACCAAGCAAGTGACACCACCCTCATTATGGGAACCTCTGATTTAGAGTAAGATGCTAATAGTTTAATAGGATTCAATTTGTATATGCTAAGCTAAGCTAAAAGTTCATCTGATAGACCTGGAGATGGGCTGAATGGATTTAAAAATGGTAAAACTCAACTGTTTAACTTTAGGAGAGTTGAAAAATGAGCTTATTTTCAAAAAGGTGGGGTGTTTTTAGGGTACAAACTAAAGTATGTTCTTACAGTTTTCTATATACTGTCTCCAATGTAATATCTTGTTTTTATTACCCTTATTTTTATTTAGCATTGTTTTTATATATTTAGTTGTATAATCCTTTATCAGAGTACGTTCTCCATATGTAAACCCATTTTTCTTTTGTGCTGATGTAACCAAAAAATAAGAGGGGAAAACAATATTACACCCCAAATATTATTTTTCATATTTCCCAATTCCAGTCTCTTCTTTTTTACTTAGTAATACATCACATTGCTGAAGATGAATATTTTGTAAGAGATATTTCACAAAGTCTTTTAAAAATGCTACCAAATAGTAGTGTACAGTGTTTCCTAGTGTCGTCTTCTGTTATAGACACAGATTTCTCAGTCACAACAAAAAATCCAGAGTCTTCATTTTTTGAGTTGCCATTTTGTTCTGTAGATTAAGCGTGTGTTACTTCACAATCTCTGAGAACAATAAGAGGGCCAATGAGAGCAATCAGTGGCTCAGAAGCTGCTGTGACATGCAGTTGTTTGGCTCTGATCCCAAATCGGCTTTTCCTTCCCTTCAGCAAACCCGCTCTAATACAGCCATAGAAAGAAAGAGAGGGAGAGAGATACCATCCTCCATGCTCTCATTTCACACTCTTCCGCCCCTCCCCACCTTTTCTCTTCTTATTTATCTCACAGACTTTCTTTTCTTTTCCTCTATTTTTATTCTGGGAGCTCTCTGCACAGAACAGGAGGGCAAAAATAGTTTATCATTTATTCATGATGAATAATGCAACCCTAGGCCCCGGTTTCTGAATGGAGAATGCAATTGGGCTATTCGCGGCATCCCTCGAAACCTAGAGGTGGGCGGTTTGTAGGCTGCTGTCCTGTAGACGGAGACACAGGCGGGGATATTAGCCCTCTTGCATGCTGGGTTAATTAATGTTTTGAGTAGCTGTTTTGCATCAGGGAATGAGATCATCTTGGAGATGCATAGAGAGTAACCTTGACAAAAGATGATCATGACTTTGGCGTCGGCAGTTTGAGAGAAACGTATTTGATTGACTACCTTTTTATGTTAAAGGTTCACAACAAGCATTTGTTTTCTTTCCTTGGTGGCATCAAATAGGCCACATGATGCTTTGTAATGATTTCCTTGTCCTTCAGTGTGTAATGTGCATTTGTGCCAAGTTAGAAAGCTCATACTCTCCCACGATATAAATTTATTCTGTCTAAAAGAAGACAGCTTCAACTCACTGATCCAAATCCAGATATAATTTTCACAAATATGCATTACAGTTTAAGATGTTAGTATAACGCCACTCAAAGCATACTCAAATAAAGATGTCAAGGCCTCAGTGAGTTGTATTTTGTGAATTGCAGTTTCTACCGTAAAATGTTTTGCACACGTTGTTGAAATCGATCTGCTTGATCAAATCGATCTGCTTGTATGGTCAAACTAAAGGTTCTGATATACTTAAGTTCTTTTTTTTTTCTTCATATAAGGGGAAAAAAGAAGAAAAAAAAAACTTCTGTGAAATCTGGGTGAGTTTAGACTGAGTTTAGACTGTTTTCAAACACTCCAACTCTCTGTGCTGCAGGAGGTGCTCACATGTACCCCCTAAACATAACATAACCAGGCAACTGTGAGAGGAGAAATGTTTCATAAACATCAAAAACCAGCATGCCACATAATTACATTTTCTATTTGCTGTCGACAGACACCAAATGGTGCTGATGGTGTGTAGAAAATAGTGTATAGAACTTGAAAAGACGTCATGTAATGTGGTGGCACATCTTGTGTGTTTGAGCCTTCGAAACTTTAACATTTTTCTGCGAGTAAACAGTATAAGTACAGTGCAGAATCGTACAGATGCAGATACATATACTAGCTCTGCTATATGACCCCCCAGTGTATTCATGTTACTAATTTGTTTACCTCTGTGGATATGAAATACAAATAAATCACACTTCAAAGAAGGCAGTGTTCCAGAACACACCCACCGATTGCATGATCATGGACCAAAGGCAGCTCAAAGGTATTTTGAAGCCAAAGCAAACTCAAGACGCTTCTAGATGAACCATTTCAAACTGCAAAAATCAACTCAAAATGATCTTTGTTTTGCAGGTCTGGTGCCCTGCAGGGTTTCACTCCAACTTGCCTCAACACACCTGCCTAGGTGTTTCAAGTTTACCTAGTAAGACCTTGATTAGCTTGTTCAGGTGTGATTGATTAGGGTTGGAGCTAAAATCTGCAGGACACCGGCCCTCCAGGAACAAGTTTGGTGATCCCTGATATAGATGATGATAAAAACCAAACAGATCTCTTTGTCAGTGTATCTGAGACACAATATGTAAAGGCACTGCCCTCTTGTCTGAAGAGCAGCAACTCATTTGCATTTAAAGTGACAAACTGCATGTTTGTAAAGAAAGGTATAATACATGATCCATGGTGTATCATGCACTGAACCTTCACAGACACATTGAGGACAACTACTTGTATTACATTTTGTAAAAAGGCCATAATAGGAAGCCTTTTAAGCTCATGCAAGACATATACAGCGAATGCAGTCATCATGATGTACCATTCAAAGCCACGTCACACTCAAATGTAAAAACAATCATTTGA